ATAATTGCTAGCTTGACCATCAACAAAAAAGTGTATTTAGAGAGCAATATAATTACTCTGGCTTATCCGCATTTCCTTTCAAGACCATATAAATTAAGCCGACAAAAATGACAAAAGCACCTGCAAGGCTACTTACACAGAAAAAGACAATACGGTCATAGGTTGTTAAATTAAATAATTGATTGTCTAAAATATAGCGCATGAAAAACCATTGTACGATTGCAAAAACAATTAGCACAATACCACGACGACGGACTTCAGGACGCATAGCCATTTGGTTGCTCACAACTTATCTAAAACAGTGCGCTATTATGCCACTGCTGAGAATTGATCTCAAATGAATAAAAGTATTCTATTCAGGCCTCTAGGAAATAGCATACATTATTGTTTTCGAATTACTTGAGATCACGTGCTGGTTTGTGGAGCCTACATTGGTGGCTGTATCCGATAAGCATTGATATTGCCATAACAATTTCTAAAACGTCTATAGGACCAAATATACTGTTCAGGTGCTTGGTTTATCATGTCTTGCATGGCAAGATTTAAACTGTCTACAGATAGCTGTAGATCTGTCGATAAAATATCTTGAGATAACTCAGTACAATACACATCAAAACCCGCTGCGTCAGTATTACGAATACAACTTAATCCAATCACATTGCATTGTGTTTTAGCCGCCATTTTAGAGACCAGTGTTGTGGACAAAGTATTCTGCTGGAAAAAATATGAATAAATACCGCCACTAGATTTTGGCAGATGATCCGGTAAAATCACCGTCAGCCCACCTTGTTTTAAGTGTCTGAAGATACTGCGGATACCCGTTTCATCAGTGGGAACCAGAGTGGCATTAAACTTTTGACGTGCATCTAAAATATAGCGATTAATCCCTTTAATTTTATAGGGTTTATACATAATCATTGGTTGCGTATAGACATTTAACCATGCATTTAACAGCTCCCAACAGCCAAAATGAGGAATGACCACAATCACGCCTTTTTTATTGGCTAAAGCTTCTGTTAGAACGGATTCCCCATGAATATTTTTTAATAAATCTAGGTTGTATTGTGGTGGCATTCCCCAACATTTTAAAAATTCAATATAGGTCTGACACTGGCTTTGAATGCTGAGATGAACGCGTTTCTGGAGTGTTATTGGGTCGAGTTCAGGGTAGGCCAACTGCAGATTAATAGTGGTGATACGCTTGATTGAAGAGTCACTATAGTAAAGCAGGTGTGCAATTCCGCGTGCGATGTATTGTAAAAAAGACAATGGAAAAAGTGAGATGATTTTAAGTAGATAATAAATAGCCATATTTTGACTCAGAAATCTTTTTAAAAGATGAGATGAGAGAAAATTTTGCAAAGAGACTTAAAAATCTAAGATAGATAAAATCAAAAAAAGATGAGCATCTTAAGAACAAAATAAATGAATAAATCAACAGAATGATTTAGTGCAAGAACTGCTGCAATAAAATATAGACTATCGTGAATCACTGTAAGGGGGATGGATTAAAAGTTCAAAAGAAATTTTGGAAAATTTGAAGCGAAAATAATATCTATGGAATGGATGGTCCTGCCATGAATGAAAAAACCCTGCGCATGGCAGGGTTTCTTTAATCAAAAGCTAAAGATTATTTTGTTTCTTCAGCTTTTGGTTTTTCACGTAAGCGAATGCCTAAATCACGTAGTTGATTTGATTCAACTGGTGCAGGCGCTTGCGTTAATGGACATTCAGCAGTTTTGGTTTTCGGGAATGCAATCACGTCACGAATAGACGCGCCACCCGTCATGAGCATGACTAAACGGTCTAGACCGAATGCTAAACCACCATGCGGAGGAGCGCCGTAACGTAATGCATTGAGTAAGAAGCTGAATTTCTCTTCTGCTTCTTCTTCACCAATACCTAAAGCTTCAAAAATTGCTTTTTGCATTTCTAGGTTATGAATACGCAGTGAACCACCACCAATTTCGGTACCGTTTAACACCATGTCATAAGCCACAGAAAGCGCAGCACCAGGGTTATTTTTCACATCTTCAACGCTTGATTTAGGTAGTGTGAATGGGTGGTGAACAGAAGTCCATTTGCCATCATCTGTTTCTTCAAACATTGGGAAGTCAACCACCCAAAGCGGTGCCCACTCGCAAGTCGACATTTTTAAGTCATGACCGACTTTAATACGTAAAGCACCCATGGCATCGTTCACAACTTTAGCTTTGTCTGCACCAAAGAACACGATATCGCCATTTTCTGCGCCAACACGTTTCAAGAGATCAAGCACGATTGGCTCGATGAATTTCACGATTGGAGACTGTAAGCCTTCGATGCCTTTTTCAAGCTCGTTCACTTTAATGTACGCTAAACCTTTTGCACCGTAGATGCCGACAAATTTCGTGTATTCATCAATTTGGCTACGTGGTAAAGAACCTGCACCCGGAACACGTAATGCAACGATACGGCCTTTAGGATCTTTAGCTGGACCTGCGAATACTTTGAATTCAACTTCTTGCATTAGGTCTGCGACGTCAACCAATTTCAAAGGAATACGTAAGTCTGGTTTGTCCGATGCATAGTCACGCATAGCATCTGTATAGGTCATGCGCGGGAATTTATCGAATTGAACATCAAGAAGTTCTTTGAACATCTTAACCGTCAACGTTTCCATTAAATCCATGATGTCATCGTCACTCATGAACGATGTTTCAACGTCGATTTGGGTGAATTCAGGCTGACGGTCTGCACGTAAGTCTTCATCACGGAAACATTTTGCGATTTGGTAGTAACGATCGATACCACCGACCATCAACAATTGTTTGAATAATTGTGGTGATTGTGGAAGTGCGTAGAAGCTACCATTTGAAACACGGCTTGGCACTAAGTAGTCACGCGCACCTTCAGGCGTTGCACGGGTTAAAATCGGAGTTTCAACGTCCAAGAAACCATTGTCTTCGAAATAGTTACGAATTAAGTTGGTTAGTTTAGAACGGAAACGTAAACGATCTAACATTTCAGGACGACGGATGTCCAAGAAACGGTATTTCAAACGAATTTCTTCAGAAATATTGGTGTTGTCGTCATTCAATGGGAACGGCGGAGTTTCTGATGCAGCAAGAACTTCGATTTCTTTACCTAAAACTTCGATTTGACCGCTCACCATATTGGCATTTTCTGTGCCTGCATAGCGGCGACGTACACGACCTGTAATTTTTAATACGAATTCTGAACGTACTTTGTCTGCAGTTGCGAATGCTTCAGGAGTGTCTGGGTCAATAACCACTTGCACAAGACCATCACGGTCACGCATATCAAGGAAGATGACACCACCGTGGTCACGGCGACGGTGTACCCAACCGCAGAGGGTTACTGTTTCATCAATTTGAGTTTCGGTTAAAGAACCGCAGTAATGAGTTCGCATCATGGCGTTAAAAATCCAACTATATGGCTAAAGGTAGCGAATACGTAAACAGCGTACCGCCAGAAATAAAGGTAGGATTATGCCTCTTTGGGCATTGACTCTCAAGGTATAGCTTAAAAAAGGCTGGAAATAGCATTTAAACGTTGGTCTAAATTCAGCCTAAACGATAGTCTCGATCTAAAAATAAAAACAGAATGCAGCCAAAGATTTGCCAACACATCCACGCCAACAAGGGGAGGGCCAGTGCCGATGTGCCAATTTGTAAAATGCGGTGTAGCGGATAGTCGTGCCCTAACAAAGAGATCTTTTGGCTTAAAAATGCATGTCCAAACAAGGTGCGGAAGTCAGCATGGGTGAGTCCGTCCCATAACAGATGCGTTGCTGTACCCAGCAGGATCGCGAGAATAACGGCCACAGAAAATTTAAAAAAACGCAGCATACTGCTGAGCCTTAATTCATGCTGAATGCCTAAAAAACGATAAAAACAGGGCCGTAATAGCGCGTACCACAAAACACAAAAACTGAGTCCAATCCAAAGATCGGGGTGAATCAGTGAAGTCCAGTAGTGGGTAGTATTTGAATTGGCTTGTGTAAACAGTCGATAAAGATCGGGGGTCATACTGCCAATGGCAATGGCAGCAATCGGTAAACGGTCACCACTGAGTTTGGCTAAAGGGGGCGCGAGAACGGCATGTGAAATGGTAAAGGGCATTGATCTGTTGGCGTTGGCATCGACTTAGATGGATAGGGCAGTTTATCTTTTTTCTAGGATTGGAATGTTTTTTATTGCAATGAATTTGAAATGTTATATTATAACAATATTCAAAAATTGTACGCTTGAGTGAGTTCCATGGCTTTCCATAAAAATTTGATAACGCTCTCTATTTTGGCGGTGGTCACACCTGCCGTTTTTGCAGATGATACAACAACACAACAACTTGAAACGTTGACCAGCCAAGCACATCCACTCGTTCAGACCGCTGCTGATTTTGCAGTAGCTGATCAGGTTATCGAGCAAAAAAGCTTAAAAGAACGTGCACCGACCATTGGGGATGCTTTGGCCGATGAGTTGGGGGTATATTCAAATCAATATGGTTCAGGTTCAAGTCGACCCGTGATTCGAGGTCAAGATGGCCCTCGCGTGAAAGTCTTACAACATGCTTCAGAAACTGCTGATGTCTCGACTTTATCGCCAGACCATGCCGTGACGGTCGATCCGATTTTGGCCAAGCAAATTGAAATCATCCGTGGCCCTTCAACCCTGTTATACAGTGCAGGCACCGTGGGTGGTTTGGTCAATGTCACCGATCAAAAAATTCCAACCAGCATGCCTGGAAAAGGTTTAGAAGGTACGGCTGGATTACGCTACAACTCTGGCAGTGATGAAAAGTTGGCCAGTGCTGGGGCAACGGTTGCTTTGGGGAGTCAGTTTGCTCTACGGATTGAGGGTTCAAAGCGTGAAGCAAATGATTATATTGCGCCGAACTATTTCCATGAGCATGAGGGTGAACTAGAAAAAGAACGTCGTGTTGGAAATACCTTTGCCAAAGGCGAAACTGTCAGCGTTGGTGGTTCATGGATTGGTGAGCGTGGTTTTGCGGGTATTGCCTATACCAACCGTCAAGATCAATACGGTTTACCTGGGCATAGCCATGAATATGAAAGCTGTCATCCGCATGATGATCATTTGCACTGTGATGGAAGCGATAATCATGGACATACGGATGAACACGATCACTCAGGACACGACCATGCACATGACGAACATGAGGCAGGGCCTTGGGTTGATTTAAAGTCGGAGCGTTATGACTTCCGTACAGAAATTTTAAATCCGATTGCAGGATTTGAGAAGTTACGTGCCCATGCCAGTTATACCGATTACCAACATGATGAAATTGAAGGCGATAGTGTTGCAACTACCTTTAAAAGTAAAGGTTATGATGCGCGTCTAGAAATGGTGCATCAGCCGATTGCGGATTGGGAAGGTGTGGTTGGCGTACAGTACAATCAACAAAAATTAGATATCACGGGTGAAGAGTCTATTTTAGAACCGACCAAGACGCAAAAGTGGAGCGTATTTGGTTTAGAACACAAGCAGTGGAATGACTTCCATTTTGAGTTAGGGGCGCGTGTCGATCAGCAGACGATTGATATTGAGTCAGATCGAAAAGACTATGATGATTATGCCGTGTCTTATTCGGGTGCTGTGAATTGGATGTTTGCACCGAACTATAAACTGTCTTTGGTCGGGTCACATCAAGAGCGTTTACCTTTGGCACAAGAGCTTTATGCTGATGGTAAGCATCTTGCAACCAATACCTATGAGCGTGGCAATGAAAATCTCGATGTCGAAAAGTCCAATAACCTAGAGTTAGGTTTCCATTACGATACGGATAAAATTGATTATCACGTTCATGTTTACCACAACTGGTATGACAACTACATTTATGCTCAAACCGCAGACCGTTACGAAAACTTCCGTCTAGTGGACTACACCCAAGACAAAGCGCGTTTTTATGGGACTGAAGCAGAAGCCTCTTATGCCATCAATGATGTGTATAAAATGAGTGTCTTTGGTGACTATGTCCGTGGCAAAATTGACAATGAAAATGCGCCACGGGTGCCTGCTGGCCGTTTAGGAACAAAAGTGAATGCTAACTTTAGTGACACGTGGTCAGGAACGGCAGAGTACTACCATGTGTTTGAGCAAGATCGAATTGCAAGCTATGAGACTGAAACCGAGGGCTATAACATGGTGAATCTGGGCTTGGCGTATAATGGTCAGTATATGCAGGGCAATGATTATCGCGTGTATTTCAAAGCCAATAACCTCTTAGATGAGACGGTTTATTCGCATACCTCTTTCTTATCGACCATTCCACAAGTGGGGCGTAACTTCACAGTTGGACTGGACTTTAGTTTTTAAGGTGCTATTTCAAGCTTCACCCCAACCTCTCCTTAAATGAGAGTTTAGGGAGAGGTTGCCAAAACATTGACAACAGAAATCCTCTTGAAAAATCAAACAATAAAACCTAGTCTGAGTATATTGGATTAGGTTTTTTGTTATGCGTATCTTTCGAAAATTACATCAAAAGCTCAATTGGACATCGACCCGTTATGTCGGTGTCGTGGTGGGTTTATTGGCTCTGANTGGTGTAATACTCAAGGAGAGCAGTGTCATAGCAAAATGATTTTAAAACGCCATGCGCAAGAAGCAGAGCTCATTTTAGGTTCAGCGAATTTTACCGCACGGAATTTGAAGAATTATAACTTAGAGACCAATTTACGTGTGATTGGCCAGTCTAACGCAGCGGTGTTTACAGATGCACAGCAATATTTTGATGGGGCATGGTCGAACTTAAATGGTCGTCAAATGAGTGTGGGCTATGAGCAATATAAAGATGAGTCAAAACTCAAATATGGGCTATACCGCTTTATGGAGTGGAGTGGTTTGTCGACGTTTTAATTTCGAATTTTTTCCCATTTCTTGCCGTTTCATGAAAAGCGGCACTTCTCCTATATTGTGCAAGATGAAAAGTCCCTCTTTTTAAAGAGGGACTTAGGGAGATTTAATTTTTAAGATTTCACTGCTCAGGATTTGGCGGGATGATTTGATCCAAATCTTTATCGGTCATGTTATCGAGTTCATGTAGATCGGTTTTGATTTTCCATTTTTCAATATCTTCCACTGGACTCGGTAGACGTGCTTCTAACCAGTCACATATGACATCGGGTGGAAAGTCAGGATGGTTACACTGAATGACCCATGCCAAGAATTGTTTGGCTTCACCATTCATATACGGCGGCGGTGAAACAGGTAAAAACTGCGTCGGTAGGCGCTCATTTTTAGAAATATAGTTCAGTACATGTCCCAGCTCTTGTACCGTTTGCCATGCCAAAGGATGATCTACATCAATTTGAAACTTAAACCACCATGCACTTTTTCCATCTGTGCCATAAGCATCAATCAGATTTTTTTGAATACTGGGCACTTTTGCAAAATATTCATAGAGTCGATCAAAACTTAATTCAGCCACGATTGTTCATCCAATACATTTATAAACAAAGATTAAGTATAAACTGAAAACATATACGATTTTTTGCTTTTCAAAGAAATCCTGCTTCAAACCTTATAGTGGTGATAACGGCCAGTGATCTAAAATTGATAGTTTGTACATTTTTTATCCATAAAATGGGTTTAAAATAATAATATTCACCTCAGTGGAGGAAGATGATGAAATATTTAAAAATAATCTATGGAATAAGTTTACTCAGCTTATTTCCTGCACTGAGTTTTGCTCAACCAGCGACGCGTTATTATGGAAAACCGCTGACTTCGCAAACCCAGCGTTTCCCAACCTATGCTGGGCCGTATCAAGGTGCAATGCCCAGACCTACATCACCGCCTCAAATTGAGCCCCCTCATCACAGACCACCTCCGCACCATCCACCACATGGCGGATATCCAATGCGACCGGGTGTGAGTATTATTTACCGAGCGCCCAGCTATTCAACCTATAGTCAGGAAACCAATAGCTATGTGTATGGGGATGGCGACTCCAGTATTGAAAGCCGTGATTATGTGTTGATTACCGATTGGCGACGTTTGGGACTGCCAGACCCACCTGAAGGCATGCACTGGATTTTTGAAAATGGACGCTACGCTTTAGAACCAGATTCAAAATAAATGAATCTTTGATCGATATAGAAAACCCTCCGTTGTTTAGACGGAGGGTTTTTTAGTGGTCAATAAAGAATTAAGCGAGTTCATCATCTTGTGGGCGTGGTGTTTTCCCTTCAGGTAAAGGCTTGTCGGCATGTTTATCCCGAATTACTGAAGGATAATTCCACGATGCATAACGCACCACCAAAATTGCAATCGCCATAATTAAAATTGAACCCGTAATAATCACCAAATCCATATCAGCTTTGTGGTCATGCTGGATATCGGAAATTAAAAGACGGGTGAGGGCGGTGATGGCGATATAAATTAAAAAGCGGACAGGCATGTGGTTGGTTTTAAAATAGATACCAACCATTGCACCCAGTTCTAAGTAGATGAATAACAGTAAAATATCATCAATCGAGGCATATTGTTTAATGGTCAGGATCTCATAAACAGTATGACCAGCCGACCAAATCACCATACAGCCAATAATAAATAAAGCCACATAGTGAAAACTTTCTACTGCAGTATTGCCCAGTTTATCGAGGAGGGTTTCAATTTTCTCTATTTTAGGGTCACGGTTGGTCATGCTAGCCTCCTCATACTTTGCAGATATTATATTGAATCATATGCAAATTTCATGCAAATGACGAGAAGTTGATTATAAAAAGCTGACGTTAAAAAAAACGCCTGACTGGTCAGGCGTTTTTTATCGTGTTTAAACTAATTAAGCTTGGTTGGTGAAGTAGTCTTCAGAGAAGTTCATGATGACTTCTGCACCTGCTTTTACTTTTGCAATACGTAAGTCGATTTCAGGCAAAATACGTTGAGCAAAATAAGCTGCAAGCGCCAGTTTGTTTTGATAGAAGTCACCATCTTTGGCTTTTGCCGCATTGGCAATTCTTGCAAACATATAGGCAAAGCTGAGTAGGCCGACTGCATGTAAGTAATCTACTGCTGCTGCATTCGGGAACTCTGCACTTTCAGCAGCACGTTCAAGGATATACTTGGTCACTTCTTCCACTTCAGTTGCTGCATCGAGTGTTGCATCTTTAATGAAGTTTAGGTCCGCATCTAAGCTGTTAGCAAAGTCACGGATTTCAGTAATGTAGTCTGCGATGAATGCACCACCACATTTAATGGTTTTACGACCGATTAAATCTTGAGACTGAACGCCGTTGGTGCCTTCATAGATTTGTGCAATACGTAAGTCACGTACACATTGCTCCATGCCCCATTCACGAATATAACCATGACCACCGAAGACCATTTGTGCATCTAAAGTTGCTTGGAATGCTGTGTCGGTTAAATAGGCTTTTGCAATTGGAGTTAGCAGTGCCACACGGTCATTGGCTGCTTTCACAGCTTCAGGGTCTGTTGAGAATTTGGTGATATCAAGTTGTTGACCCACGTAAACTGCAAATGCGCGAGATGCTTCATTATTGGCACGTGCATTCAGCAACATACGACGCACATCACCATGAACTAAAATGCTATCTGCAGGTTTAGCTGGCGATTGCACACCAGACGCGCTACGACCTTGTAGACGGTCTGTTGCGTACTGTGCCGCATTTTGGTAAGCAAATTCAGATGCGCCTAAACCTTGAATACCCATCGACAAACGTTCGTAGTTCATCATCACGAACATTGCCGCAAGACCTTCATTTTCTTTACCCACCAAGTAACCTTTGGCGCCGTCAAAGTTCATCACACAAGTCGCAGATGCTTTGATCCCCATTTTGTGTTCAATTGAACCTGGACCTGCCGCATTACGCTCGCCTACAGAACCATCTGCATTCACTAAGAATTTAGGTACGATGAATAATGAAATACCACGTGAACCCGCAGGTGCATCTGGTGTTTTCGCTAGAACCAAGTGAATGATGTTTTCAGCTAAGTCGTGGTCACCGCCAGTAATAAAGATTTTGGTCCCTGTAATGTTATAGGTGCCGTCTTCGTTACGTTCAGCTTTAGTTTTGATAATGCCTAAATCTGTACCTGCATGTGGCTCAGTTAAACACATGGTCCCAGACCATTCGCCTGAGTAAATTTTAGGTAAATAGGTTTCTTTTTGTTCTTGCGATGCGTAGCTGTTCAGCGCCATACCTGCACCGACAGAAAGAAGCGGGTAGAGCATGAATGATGGATTAGTTGCGAACAGCATTTCATCTGCAAGAACCGTCAGCATTTTTGGCATGCCTTGACCGCCCCATTCTTCATCAGCCGCTAAGCCAATCCAGCCGCCTTCAGCATACTGCAAACTGGGCATGGGGTATGTACCCAGGTCTTTCTCATGGTGCAGTTCGTACTTTAGAACATCACGGTTCAGCTGAACAAAAAGATGCTTACTTACCAAACCTTGTTTCAGGTGTTTGGACAGG